AATTTGTGAAAATCTATTCAAATCCACAAAATTCCTTAGAATTTATAATCTTTTAAAATCCACCAAAATCTACGAATTTCTTTACATCTTTACAGATTTTCTCTTTACAAAGGAATAGCAGTATCCTCCTAAACTCCAGGAGAATTTTATCTATAAGGAACTTTGTCAACTTCACTTTAAGTTTCTGATTGTGCCCCATTCTTTAAAAATTGATATTTTTCCGAACTAATTTTTGATCACACATTCTCCTAATAAAATCATTTTACACGTAAATCCAAAAAAATTTCATACATTTTAACCACATTTTCAAAAAAATCATTATTACAAAATTTATTTTCCCAAAAAGTAGGACTCATCTTCGTGGTTTTTTCCCCTCCTTCACGAATGAGAAACTCAAAATGCTCAATGAAACTCAAGTTAGTTTGGGGGGAAAATTGTTTATGTTTGATGAGAGGATTCACATAAAAAGGATTTATTGAAACAATTATCATATTTGTACGATTATACTTGACAATAATGGTTGACAATGTTGGTGTTGTCAAAATTTGGATCATTAATTTAAAAAATAATTTTTGAAATAGATGAATGTGATGTTGACAAGTGTGAGTTATCAATCAATATTGTCAAACTAGATTGTACATGTAACATAATTCTTATTTAAAATAAGAGATAGTATCTATTAGATCAAATTTTGTAATTGGCAACGTCCAAATTAGTTATTAACAATTTTCGTATTCAAACCCATGGGTTAATTGAGTTGTAATTATAGTTAAAATAATTTGGGGTTGGAAGAGTCCTAAAAGAAGTTGAAGAAATTCAAGAAGAAGATCAAAAAATGGACTTCAAGAAGTAGAACAAGATTCAGACTCTCGATCATTCGCCTGCACCCTTTGGTGCTTGAGCGCTCAAAACAAGAGCACCAACGCTCGACAACTGCGACCTGGCGCTCGAGCGACATGTCGAACACTTGCTCGTTGCAAGGTATTTTGCTCGAGCGATGGTTCCACGATATAGAATCCGTTATGATTTTAATAGTATTTTTCAATCTTATTTCACCACAAACACTACGCATTTTAAATATAACCGTCATACTTTGTCCAAAGGTGTGTTGAATCATTATCTTAAACGTGTAGCATTTGAAA